TTCAAAATTAGTGATATTAAACTATTTCTTCTAATTAATTTCCTCTCAATGTGCATGAATCCATGCACCGGGCCACGTGTGTGTGTGTGTGTGTGTGTGTGTGTGTGTGTATGTATGTATGTATGTATGTATATATGATTCAAAACTACTTTAATACCATCCCCTGTTTAAGGGTCAAATAATAAGATTTCCAGGGTTTAAAAGTACTGGAAAGTTAGACAGGTTATCCATAAAGGACATGGGTTGGGCATAAGGAAGGAGTAAATGTATTCATATGGCTCCAGAAGGCAGAACTTGGATCTATTAAAAAAAAATTCTGGAAGGTAAATATCACCTGAATATATACACTTAATTTCAAGCTGTTATCTATTAATTGAATAATTTGAAAAATCATGATCCTCACACTACTAAAATATGCAAACAGAAATAAGAACTTTGTCCAGGTGAGACTTTCACTGAGTGGGAGGTGGGAATCTTCAAATTCCAATATTTTTTTACATTTTAAACATAAAATTAAATATATAGTACATGTGATGTTATATGCATATCCATAAATAAATAAGCAAACTTTCATGAAAAATATCTATTTTAAAAATATGGGGAATGTATAATTTCAAGAAAAATAAAAATAGTAAACTATATAGGACATTACCACTTATATTATCAGAGTTAGAAGTGAATTTAATAGTGTACGATTTTTTGCTGAAGAACAAAATAACTGCAGGAGAAGGCTATAAGAAAAATTCAAAAGGAAGTGAGATGAAGTGCTTTCAGAATCAGACAATTTTATGATAATAGCAAAATAACTTACCTCCATCACCTCCTCTGATTTAGTTGTTGGTTAGATTAGAAATATATGAAAAGTACAGAGTCCCTGGCATATGAAAGACACTCAAAAAAATGTTGGTTCTCTCCCTTGAACTCTCATAAAACACTTTGTATTTGAAACCATTTTCATCACTTCTTGAATATTCAGCAGTTTCCAAGAGTAACACATAATCATTGATTTTACAGCAGAAACCAATACTAATGATGGTCACTGTTAACAGAAAAGTCAGGGAGATAGCACTTCTCTAAGAGCACATTTTAAAAATTGAGATTGAGGCACTAAAAGCAGCTTATCATGTACTAATAATTTGAAATTTTAAAGAAATATTTTCTAAATTTAATAACTGTCTGCAAAGACCAGCATATTTTTCCCGTTCTAGAGGCACTTTTTTAAAAAAAGATCCAATACTAATCTCCAAGTCTGCTATCAAAGCTCCAACCGTGTACTTAGAGGTTTTTCAAAGGGCTGACATGTTTCTTACACTTCCTAAGTCAACAGAGCTTGTTCTAAGACTTTAAGATATTAACACTCTTTGGGACCAGACAGATCCAAACATGGAAACATAGATACTTTATTCCTGTTTCATCCCCTATCACCGAAAATGTACTCACTTTGGGTCTATGAACTGACATGAGGAGACTGATGCAAGTAACTGGCCACATCCTCCTTCACACTCAATCCCTGCCTTTTTTGTTTATGTATTTTAAAGGCTGTTACTTAGCCTTTGATAGGCATAGCCTTGATGCAATAGCCTTCCCATTTGGGAAAAAAGGATCTATTTCAAACTCTCAGTGGAGCAGGGTAGGTAGGTGCCTGACACAGGGATGCCAAATAAAATGCAGGATATTCTTGCAATATTTAGGACATACTTATGCTAAAAAAATGTGTACACTATTTATTTGGATCAGACATATTTATACTTTAAAAACTACTTATTGTTTACTTGAAATTTAAATTTAACTGGGTGGTCCTTTGTTTTTTTGTGTTTTGGGTTTTTTGTTAAATGTAATGCCCTACCCAAGCTACAGAATTTGAACTGGAGCCTCACTGAAAACAATAACACTTAGATTGGATCAACTATTTACCATTATCAGGCTTTTAAAACAAAATTAACTGTACTATTATTCCCATATTACAGAAGAGCAAACGAAGGCACAGAAAGTTTGAGTGGTTTGCCTGTGGTCACACAACTAGTAAGTGACCAGGATACAAACCCAAGGAGTCGGATTCCAAACAGTTTGCTCTTCATTACACCTCTCAGGGTAACGCTGACACTTCCTTCTGGACCTTGTGAAAACCCAGATAGTTAAGTGGATGAAATAGGGAGTTTCACACCCAACAGGTAATGTGTCACAAAGCATTTGCCATGGAGAACCATCCCTGTGCTTGCTGAGTAACTGATACCCTTGACAAAAAAGCTGAAGAGAAGCTTAAAGGAGACAGTCTCTAAACTCTCCTCACTCTCCAAGGCAGACAGTAGGCTTGCTTACTCTCCCAGCAGTCAAAATACATGCCACCATTTGTAGTTTCTTGTCCCCTTCATGGAAGCCCTTGTCTTTTCTTTAACTTGCTTCAACATATATTACATTTATTACATTTATGAAAGGTGGGGAGTGGAGAGGGTCAAAGCATGTGGTTTTCCCTATATTCTAATACCATCTTTGGTAATGTTATTGGCTAGTTAATAATATTAATAACAGAAAGAGAGCAAAGGAAAGGCCAGGCATTATAATCATGGTCATCTGGGCAGCTTCACCAGGAAGCTTCAACTTCACACTCTCCAGGGAACCACCAGTCCATTCCCTGAAGATCACTGGGGGATGGAGTCCAACAAAGCAGGAAATGGGTGCATGTGCAGTGAAGTAGGGATAAAGTAGGGAAGGTGCTTGTCTGTCCATCTAATCTGGGAAGAAGATACTTGGCTCGGGGGATAGAGCCACTACAAGAATGTGAAATCTTGAAGGGTTAACTGGTCAAGCCCTGGTCATAATCCCCAGACAAAGTTCCCTCTCTATCTCTTGCTTCTTGTTCCCTATTGCACCCTCTTGCTCCATGACCTGCACCCACCATGTGCTCTTAAGCAGCCACACAGCTCATGGTCAGTTGAACCACACATATAATGGACTGCAGCTGGGACACAATCTAAACTAGCCAGATGCTGGACTAAACTGGACTTTAATATGGAGCGGAGACTCTGGAACTTAATCCTAGCCCTGCTGAAGACAAGATTGGGCTTTTTCCATGATGGATGGAGGGAAATAGGACATTGAAAAGCCAGGGGCTTAATTCCACAGGAATAAAGTTCACTTGTCCTTGCAACATCACAGGAACGCTACTTCCACGGGTAACAGGTGGGGATGCAGATAACACTAATACCTAGATTCATTTGTTTATGGGGACTGGGACGTTTGTTTTGTTAACTTCTATATCTCTAACGCCTACAACAGTGTCTGTTACCTTGAAAGACCTCAATAAATAAATGGTATTTATCAAATCAATAACCTTTTCATACATTCAGCAAATATGTTTGTGATCAGTTTACGCATCAAAAGTATTACAAACAGGAAGATTGTTTTATAATTCTTTTATTATTTTGCACTCTTAATCTAAACAATAAATCAATGCTATATGTATTATAATTCAGGGGTGGGGAGTGTCCAGCCCACTGGCATATAAGGCCCAGGAAATGATTCAGCCTGGCCCTGCCAAAGCATTAAGGGTGAGTTCATTAAATGTTTGACCAAATATAACAGGTTAATTTTTAAGTTGATAATTCTGTATGGCCCGTGAATGATGTTATAAATATCCAAATGGCCCTTGGCAGAGAAAAGGTTCCCCACCCCTGTAATTGATCATAATGCCCGCCCACCCCTATCTCCTCATTTGGAAGCCAGGTCCAGAGCTTCAGCCCGCAAATCAGTCTTTAAAGAACCTGAGTCAGAACAGTTTCATTGTGAGGATGTAATAAGACCCATTAAGAACTTATTTTCCAGCTGATGGCAATAGGACACTTCCTTAATGTGAGGTAAGAGAATACAAGCACTAAAATTAAAAACAAAGAAACAGATAAAAAGATTGTATCGTGTTTAAGGATTAAAGACTAATAATCTACTGAGGTGCCACCACCACTTGATCCATGTCTTATCTGTAAAGCATAATAGCTTTGTGTTCTGTCTTGTTACAAAATGCATTATGTCACAAATAAGAAAATAAAACAGCAGGGATGTCTAAAGTAATTCACTATATTTTGAAAACATTAAAAGTAATAGGCCCTCTCTATAAACCCTCATAGTTTTGAAGATAACTTTATGACCCTTAACTCTAAATTTGAATAACAATGTATTTTTATTACTAAGGAGCCACATTTCATCATAAAAATAGCATGGCAATTATTCTACATTACCATTACGAGCATTCTCAAATATATTCTGCAGAATCTTTCCTTTTAAGAGGTGCCTTTTACTTTTAACTATTTAATCATGCATATAATAAAATGGTTCAACTTAGTAACAGAATGGAAGATTGATACATTTTATTTTGTTAAACACCTAAAAAATAGCATGTTTCTATTTGGATTTTTTTAAAAATCTGCATGCTACTCTTTGGAAGTTGGAAGGATCTGCAAACTTATTAATTAAGAATTTTCATAATCCAATTGA